GTGGCTAAGTCATTATGCAAGGTAGCCTATTTCCCCTTGTTTTTTCCTACCCCCCCCCCAGACGTTCTGGTTAAACTTGGATTTAAACTTGGAGAGTGGTCAGTTTGGATGAGCTATTGCCAGCAGGAGAGTGAGTTTGTGTGTGTGTGTCCCCGGGAAAAGGGGCGAGAAAGCCTGGATTTGTGCTGGACATAGCCCACCTTGATTACCATGCACATTGTGAAGAGAGTTGTCACTTTGGATGGGCTATTACGAGCAGGAGAGTGAGTTTGTGTGTGGGGGGGTGGAGGGTGAGAAAACCTGGATTTGTGCTGGAAATGGCCCACCTTGATTATCATGCACATTGTAGGGAGAGTGGTCACTTTGGATGAGCTATTACCAGCAGGACAGTGGGGTGGGAGGAGGTATTGTTTCATGATCTCTGTGTGTATATAATGTCTGCTGCAGTTTCCATGGTATGCATCCGATGAAGTGAGCTGTCGCTCACGAAAGCTCATGCTCAAATAAATTGGTTAGTCTCTAAGGTGCCACAAGTACTCCTTTTCTTTTTGCGAATACAGACTAACACGGCTGTTATTCTGACACTTGAGGAATTCACTCATGCTGAGGTCACTTGGGCCCTAGAGAAGTCTAAAAATGAACCAAGAATATTTCTTCAACTTACAGCCTGAGGAAGGTGGCAACCCTGCTATCAAAGACATCTGCTTCCCCAACTTAGAAATCATCAAACTCAATGCAGACCTAATTCTATCCCTGTGCATGCATGGGATTGTGGCCCTAATTTTGGGCTGTCCTTTGGGGTCCAAGGCATCAAAGATCCCCGTTGCCAAATAATTAATGCCAGGCAGCCTAGCTTCATTATTTGAGATACAAGTTTGGTTGAGAAGTAACTGAGTAAATATCATCTACTTAAACTTTTGTAAGGCATTTGATGGAGCTTTGCATGACATGCTAATTTTTTTAAAAAAATAATGCTAGATAATATCAGTAACACACACATTAAATGGATTAAGAACTGACAGATCTCAGAAAGTGGTTGGCGATGGAGAATCACCATCAAATGGGGGTGTTCCTAGTAAGGTCCAGCACTATTCAACATTTTCATCCATGATCTGGATGTAACTATAAACTCACTGCTGATCAAATTTGCAGCTGTCACAAAGATTGGCAGAGTGATAAATAATTATGAGGACAGGGCCCTCATACAGAGTGATCTGGATTGCTTCATAACCTGAGCCCATTTTAACAAGATGTGTTTTAATACAACCAAATGCAAGGGACTACGTCTAGGAACAAGGAATGCAGGCTATGCTTTCGGAATAAGGTACCATAGCCTGAAAGCAGTGACTCTGAAAAAGATTTAAGGGTCACAGTGGACGAGTAACTGAACGTGAGCTCCCAGTGTGTGTTGCTGTGGCAAAATGGGCTAATGCGATCCTTGGCTATAGAAACAGGAGTGTTGAGTAGGGCTGTGATTTCACCACGGTGCATGGCCTTGGTGAAATTGATAATGGATACTGCATACAGTTCTGGTGTCCACATTTTAAGAAGGATGTTGAAAAATAGGAGCGGTTGCAGGAAAAAGAGCCACAAAGATGATTCGAGGGCTGGTGAAAATGCCTTATCGTGAGACACTTAAAGGGCTCAACCTGTTTAGCTTATCCAAAAGATCGAGAGATGACTTGATTACAATGTGTAAAATACCTTTGTGGGGCGACAATAGCGAATACTAAATGTGCTTTTTAATTTAGCAGCGCAACTTGAGCAAGGTATAACAAGAATCAAGAGTTGGAAGCTGAAGCCAGACCAATTTAAATTAGGCACCTGTTTTTTGTTTTATTTTAAACAAACAATGAAGGTAATTAACCATTGGAACAAGCTACCAAGGGAAGTGGTGGATCTTCCATTTCTTGATGTCTTCAAGGAAAGCTTGGATGCCTTTCTGGAATGTATGTGTTAGCCAAACATAAGTTATTGGGTGCAATACAGGGGTACCTGGGTGAAGTTTAAGGGCATGATCTATACAAGTCAGCCTACATCAGTGGTCCGCAAAGTGTGGCACACCCCCCTCCCTGGGGATGCGGCGGGGCTCAGGCCACTCGGACAGGCTTCAGACACAAGGAACAGATTTTCCAAGCTGTTCACTGTCCATATATTTTATAAAAATGTCTTGTGGCACTATTGCATTTTAATGGGAATCAAAACTATTCTAATATTGAATGGCTAAAGCTACTTCCTATAATTCACCAGTCTTCCAATCAACTTCCACATTTCTTAAGTCTCTATTCCAGAGGTCCCCAAACTGTGGGGCACATCCCCCTAGGGGAGCAGGGAGAATCATTTGGGGGGGGGGAGGCCACAGCTGGGGCCCAGGCCAGCCCCCCAGCTCTGCTCCTGGCCCCTGAATAGTTTGGGGACCACTGCACTATTATATGGCAACACGTATCACTGGAACCTTGTTTGAATTCGCTTTGTACCTTTCTAAAATTGCTGCTGTCATTATTGGTAGGAGAGTGTAATGCCAGGGACCATAAATATTTGACAAGCTGAAAAACAGGCTGATATACACTATCCTTTAGGCAAACACAAGGAAAGCAACATTGTTTATCAGCTCATTCAACACTACAGAAAGTGCACGTAGAGGTCAGAGTGGAAGAAGGGCATGAAGACAGATAAAGTAGACAACCACGTTGCATTTTTTTATCCAACTTTGGCCAAATACCTGCTTGAGGCATAGCTGCATACATAGCTTAAGATTTCAGGCCCAATGCTCCACTTGTACCTTGCGTAGTCATGAGCTCCAGCCCAAGCAGCATTGTCAAAGCAATCTCTGTGCAGCTGTTTTTAGTGTGAGCCCCGCTAACGCGAGTCTGTGCACCCAGACTGGGAAGCTCACTCCCACTGCAGTGTAGACATACTCTATGAGTGTAGCTTTCGGAATGTGAATGGTTAAAATATATTATACTTCGTAAGGGTAGCTTAACCTATTACAGTCCAAAGATGTATGATGTACATATCTGGTTAGGGGCCTAGGGCCAAGATTAATATACTCTCAATTGATAAAAATGGGTATTCACACATGCCAATGAGCATCTTGTTGTGTGTTCAGTGAGGGGTACAGCCTAATCCCAGTGCATGAAGTAGCAGGGGTGTGCTGGCAGCTGAGTGAAGGGCATAATCCTAGTTTTTGCTCCTCCCCTTCCTGCCACAAAAGTTACAGGAGCAGAGCTGCTTCACCCCCGCTACCAGAGCCTCAGGACTGCAAGGGGGAAATAGCTGATGGGACGTGCATAGTTATAGATCCTTTAGCTCCCAGGCCTACCCTACTCCCATCCTCCTCTGTTCTACAGTGCACAGGCAGTGTGTGCCCCTGTGCACACTTGTACCACACTGCACATAAGGCCCCTAGAAGCAGAAAGGTTGGCCTGGATCTAAAAGGATTCCCTCGTATTCAACATTAGTCAAGATGAAACGAATGGTATCCCCCATCCCCACTGCAGCATTATATCATGGCAGTGCCCAAAGACCTCAATCGGATTCCATGGTGTTGGGGTTGTATGGACATATGTCCAGAGCCAGGAAGCACTTAAGTCCCTGTGCCCTCAGTAGGATTTCAACATGAACTTGAAAACATCCTTCATGAATAAGGACGTTTTCTTGCATTGAGCCCATAGGAGAGAGGATCTCTTGAGTAGGACATTATAGGTACTAGAAAGTCTCAGCCCGACATGCATGCACCAGTAATTGAAAATCTTTTGACTAAACAAGAATGTGCTGCCTTTTTACCTAATAGAAACTGATAAGTAAACATGAGTAGCATAATGTAATATTTAGTTGGATCTCCGTTTATTTCCCATTTACTTGTATTATGCAAATCAACATAAGTAAACACATGTTCCTGATTTTGTACTGTATGTGTGAATTTGATATAATAAATAAAAAACAGCAGTAAACATGCACATGTACTTGACTGCAGAAAAACAACTGATTTCTCTTAAGCAGCAAAAATACTGAATTTAAAAATAAAGACAGTGCTGTTCATCTGAACTTGTGGCATTTGTTACAATAATTCCTCTACTTCAAACAGATCTCACTGCAAATGCAGTTGTAAATTTAACTACTTCTGATGATCCATTTCTGATGACCCCATTTAAGGGCACCCACTGTAAAAGGCAGTTATGATCAGAAAAATGGCTCTAAAAGGTCACCCTCGCTAACATTTTATTCAAGTCACAGATGTTTACTTACCTTTCTCACAACGTTAAGATTTTCATTGCTATTCACACTATAGAGCTAACCCACCAGGAGAATTTGAATTGTTCAAGCTAGAATAGAATCCACCAGCAATAGAATTGTTAACTAATGGCTGAAGCCTGCATTTGATGGCAAAATCCCTGTTGATTTAATTTGGAATCAGATTACGCTACATTTTTCAAATGCAGAATATTCCCGAGAAAGGTACTTGAGCCAGAAAAAAAAGAATCAGCTTGATTTTCAGATGACAGGCTGAATTTGCAAGGCTGGAAGATAGAACCCCTCTCTCTACATGTCAACTCAGCAAATTTCCTCTGGAAGTCGCTGCTATAAACAAACATGGAACGCGAGCTCCCTCAGTGCTATTGTTTTTATTTGTCATCACTTCTCAGTGCATAGCTGCACTTTAAGAATGATCTGCTTTAATGTTAGCTTTGACGATAGTGTAGTGCGCGGGTACAAAATAACTAATATTTCCTTGTTGGAAGCTTTTTTTTCCCCCTCTTCTCTTTTTATGAAAAGTGCTCATAATACTTTACTGTACAATGTATCATGATGCACTTTTTTAAGGAGTCACTTTCTGAGCATTAGGCATTGATAGATATACTTATTGCCGATAAATTGAGAATATGCAATAAAATGTTCAGATCACTAAGTCTTCATAAAAGCTTCACTTTAATATTTCTGTATGCAGACAGATTGTTTCCTTGAACACCCAATGACTGCATTTATATTTCATTTTGCAGTTTTTTCCATATGGAGATGCTTCAAAGTTTGCCCAACATGCCTTCAGAACCTTTGATAAGAACGGCGATGGAACCATTGACTTCAGAGAGTTCATTTGTGCATTGTCCATCACCTCAAGGGGTAGTTTTGAACAGAAACTAAACTGGGCCTTTAATATGTATGACTTAGATGGCGATGGTAAAATTACAAGAGTGGAGATGTTGGAAATTATAGAGGTAAGAAATATTACACAGGATTACAAACATAATTTTTGTACATATTGAACATTTTCCATAAGGCAGGTGTATCGCCCATTCCAATAAACACAAATTTCCTGATACAAACACACAAGCAGGCATAGGTGGAGTGCTGAGCTCATAAGAATTTGTGCATAAAACATGCAGCATATGCAGAAAGAACTTGTATTTCTATAGAAGCTGTGCTGATAATGCTGAAATCTAACTAAGTAATAGTGGTTTGTGGAAAGCATAGTTTCACCAAGGAGTTTGCATCTCACAACACATTAAGATAGTTAGAACTTATCTGTCCAACATTAGAGTGCCAATTCTATGAGTAACTAGGATCTTCCATTATAAAAATGTGCAGTAGAAATAACTTCTAAAAATGTTGCCAAATTAGTGATTACTGAGGTGTAGAATATAGACTTGGATATTTTTAGTACATACAATAGCTTAGTTGGATTCTCCAAACAGTAATATTTCCAGTTGTACAAAACAGTCCATTATCTAAAATAGGATATTCCACTGTCCTCTGAACATTGGAAATTTGTTATCCAGACTTGTGCAGTTGGTCCCCATTTTAATAGAATAATGATGTAATGCAGAGCCATCATTTAGTATCGTTTCTCAACGTGATTAGCAAATTGAAAGAAAGACTTTTAAAAAAAATGTTTCCATGATTGCTGAGGGCTATGCAGTGTGTGCACACATGCATGCACTTATATCTTAATAGAGGTACATCTGATAATTTTCTGATGTGTGTGAAAAACAGTACAGCTGAATGCTTCTAGGACCTCAGATAGGAATTCTCAAACTTACATATAGTTCTAATACAAGCTTAAATCTTTACCTGATGGAAACATCTTTTCATTCTTGGTCAAGTGTTCCACAGATGATCATGTTTACTTCTTACCAGACCAAGATGATCTTGTAAAAAAAACCAAACAATTTTTTTCCCCAAACCGTTGACGAATATGACCGTAGAAAACTGATCAGTCAAATTTTGTATAAAATGTTTCAAAGAGCTGAAGGTTGTTAAAAACCTCAGACTCCAGAAGTGCACACACATCTGATCCAGAGCACAGGGGGATTTGAGCTGTAGTGCTGTTCTAGTTTGTTTTAAGACTACAGGACCACACTTCTACTGGATTATCACAAATAAAACTATGCATCTACTTGTAATTGGAAACTCACTTCTAACAGTCCAATTATGATTTTCTTTAAACAAAGGTTTCAAGTGTTTGAAGAAACAAATTCGTTCTAAAGTGACAAATGGAATAAGTATTTTAAAGAAGCCTGTATTTATATTAAGGAATTTCATTAAAATATTTAAGAGGCTGTTATTCCTTGTCAGAAGCAAATGGGTTTGGGATTTTTAAAGCTAAATTGAAGGCATAATCACCATCTCAAGTTAGAAAATCAACTCTGCATATAATCATGACACCCAGAACCATGTACGGACTACACTTAATTATACTGATTCCAAGTCTCGATTTTTTAACATTATTATTTTCCTTTCTTTTTCTTTCCAAAGGCCATTTACAAGATGGTGGGTACTGTGATAATGATGAAAATGAATGAGGATGGTCTCACGCCGGAGCAACGAGTAGACAAGATTTTCAGCAAGATGGATAAGAACAAAGATGACCAGATCACACTGGATGAATTCAAAGAAGCTGCAAAGAGTGATCCTTCCATTGTATTACTCCTGCAGTGTGACATTCAAAAATGAGCTAATGTAAAATGCATTATGGACTGCACAGAAGTTTAGATGTTCCATTCAGTTTGCAGCTATTTCCACACACACACAAATTGCTTGGACTACCTATAAATGGACTTGCTTCTTGTGTTTGAAACACTCGTGTGCATGAGAATGTCATTTGCTAAAGAATTTTAAAAGTATATATTATAAAAATAAACGGCCACAATGTGATGTGTGCAATGTCATTTCATAACAACCCTATTCCTCTGAAGCCTGTGCAGCAGAACCGTGCTGCAGTGAAATACTATTGATTGTTCGTTTTACTGACGCTAGCTATGTGTCTCCTAGCCTGAGTAATGTTAGTGACACTGACTTCCCATGGTAATGTAACTGTTGATTATAAACCATGTCACCATTCTGCTGTAAAGTAGTACTGGACAGACAGAGGCGAAAGTTCCTCAGTTCATGAGTCTGATCCACACATGTGCTTGTATTGTCAGTGAATATAAATGTAATTCATTTGCATGCCTTTTAGGTTTGCCTTAATTCTTACCTCATTTGCATCCTTTCAGTCTGGAAAGAGCTATGTCAGAGGAATGCAGTATAAACAAAGTTAAGTAAATCCTGCTAAAATGTTCCCTTAATTAAAAAGTCTATCTACACATTTAAAATATTGTTTTACTGGAAGTTTAAAAAAGTTTTATTGGAAGTTTATTGATTTCTGCCTGAATTTTCAAAAGCTTCTAAAGAGATTGCAATATATGTCCAAAATAAATTTATAACATTTGACTTTTTCCCCCCTAATTCTTATTTCACATCTTTAGCATGTTGCTACTGCGAGAAAAAATATAATTCAGTCACTACAAGAATCTGCTACTACAATACTGGGAAAAATACGTATTTCATGAGAAAACAGTATACATGAAACTGGAGGTAGAATTTAATTCTTGTCCAAACTGCCTTATTTGATGAATTGTAATCAAATGCCGTGGTGCTCACATATATCTGTAGGGACAGATTCTCAACTCTATGTGTCAGAGAGAAAATAGCCAGTAAAAATACAGAGGAGCTCACCTTCCAAATTCTTCCTTATCCAGTGGTATTCCAGTATCTGGTCTCCCTAATATGGCACTGACAGCAAATCCTACTTCTGCAGAAGTAGTCACTACTACAGTATATTTCACAGACGACAAAAGCAGCTAGGGAATAGGACAGTGGCACTGCTCAGAGCATTGTCAGAAGAGCTGTGATATGACTGTGTAAACTTGCAGCTCCTCTCTCCTTGTACCTCCTTCAGAAAAGTCACTGAATATTGGAGCTCATGTCCCACCCACAAAAGGACCTTGATTCCAAGCATGTAATACCTCTATATTAAATGCCTTGGATCTATCACCATTGCTATTATTCTATATAGGCCTATTAAATGGGGGGAGGCATAGCTCAGTGGTTTGAGCATTGGCCTGCTAAACCCAAGCTTGTGAGTTCAATCCTTGAGGGGGCCATTTAGGGATCTGGGGCAAAAATTGGGGATTGGTCCTGCTTCAAGCAGGTGGTTGGACTAGATGACCTCCTGAGGTCCCTTCCAACCCTAACCTTCTATGATTCTAAATCAAGTCTGATATTCAAAAGGTTCAGGTCAAGATTCTTTCTAGGAAGCTTAAAAATAAGTTCCTCAGAAGTCTTGATTATGGAGGAGAAAACTGACACAACAGACACCTGAGTGAGGTTCTCACTCAAAATTAACTCTTCAGAGGGCAGCAACAATAGAGTAACTAGAGAGGAGTTTAAGATTCAATGGTTACAAGCACTGTAAGGTAAACATTTTCAAGGCCAACCAGCCACTAATTCAAAACTCTAAAACTGCAAGAAAAAGGGTTGCTTTATTTCCTGACAATTTTTAAAGTATTGCATCATTTCACCCAGAACTGCAGATAACATTTCACTTGTCCAGCTCGTTAAGACCCCCTTAAGTGTATTAGCCTTTGACTTCCTTTAAAATGCTTTACAGGATTACAGAAATGGCAGAAAAATACAATGCGTGCACTCTGGCCATGTTTGCCAGTTGGGGGAAGACAGCAAATCTCTAGCATCTTACAATTACTTTTGTTACCTTTTGAAGAAGCCACGCAGGTCTGCCAATCTGCAGATCATGCCTCAAAAAACAAGACAAAGCATCCCTGCATTTCTAGACTGAAAAAGCAAGCTGGGCTCTAAGTTTCAAGTCAGAGTAAACATCTCCAAACAAGTCAATAAAGAAGCATCCAGGCAGGAAGCACTGTTTTGACATGTCCATATGTTGCAGATTCTTCACCATAAAACCTTCCCTTGAAGCACACTAATAATTTAATCCTCTCTTGATCAGAATCAGTTCAGTTGGTCCACCCTCATCATGACTACAAGCATGTTGTCATTTAATTTGCCTGCTCACATTGAGCAGCCAAATGCAGAAATTTCAACTACAACTTTGCATCGGAATTTCACTAGGGCACTGCAATTAGTATCCTCACTAAATTTATTAAATGGTATAATTCATGTTAGTTTAAAAATAATCAAGTGCTTATTAAACACGAAGCTAGTAACTATATATTGAGTACTTCCTGGAATTAATGCTCATATCTATCACTCATTTATTTACTGTGACTTGCAGTGGGTCTTCTACATTTCACTTAGGGCATCACGTTAAAGTAAATGAAAAAGCTCCAACAGATTTCAGTGGCAATTAGCTCAAGACATTAAAGCAGTGTTGTACAAAATGGCCACTGGCTTAAATATAAACATCACAAAGGTAATTATGGCAGCATTACGATTGTCTTTTGGTAGTCCAACAGCCGTATCACGGGCATAAGTAAATCCTTATCTAAAAAGTACCAAGAATAGGAGAACTTGAGAACCAAGAAGTCTCCACTGAAAAGCACTACAAGAACAAGGTGATTCAGCAATTGCATGAACTGATTTATTCAGGGGAAATCAACTTCAAAAGAGAACAGATGCCTATGAAATCCTGTCAGTCCCACATTTTTATACTTTACAGGAACTGATATATTCAGAAGAAATACATCATGTGATTTCAATAGAAAGCCCAAAGAAATGTTTGCTGTTGCTTTGAATAGTTTAAGAAAAGTCTACCTATTTCTGGAATTTGCTAGAAAAGTTGGGATCGAGTATAAAAGCTAGAAGGATATTTAGTGAGAGCTGCAGTAATTTCACTCTCTAGCCCTCTTCCTCCCAGCAGTTATCTAAAAAGGCAGTAATGAAGGCTGCATATATTTAAGATGAAGCAGACTTTTCCTTTCGCCTATACACACTTTCTATGCACTTCATTCTCTTGGATCCTGAAGAAAGTCACTGGGAACAAATGCCATGTCATTCTTTTGGTTCACATTTTGCCAGCAAAGGCCTTAGAGGACTTCTTCCTGGTGCAAGCAGAAGTAAGTAAATCTTAATAAATTTACCATGTAGTTTAAGAGCATGTAGTGAGACCATGGTTCCACACCAATCTAAAACTAAGCTACTGGTTAGCTCATGCAAAGAACCAGGTGTATTATAGAGGAAAAACCATAGTCCTTGGCATCAGGCAGGCAGAGTTTGTGTGCTCCCAATGCACATGAACCTAGACAAGTGAACACTGAGCATCGACATCTTAAGCCGGGGTGAGCAAACTTTTGGGCCTGAGGACCACATCAGCTTTGCGAAACTGTATGGAGGGCCGGGTAGGGAAGGCTGTGCCTCCCCAAACAGCCTGGCCCCTACCCCCTATCTGGCCCCTCCCACTTCCTGCCCTCTGACTGCCCCCCTCAGAACCCCCAACCCATCCAACCCCCTGTTCCTTTGTCCCCTGAACACTTCCCCCCAGGACCCCCTGCCCCTAACCGCCCCCCTGGGACCCCACCCCCATCCAACCCCCCCCATGTCTCCTGACTGCCCCCACACCCCCTGACAGGCCCCCTAGGGACCACACCTCCTCTCCAACCTCCCCGCTCCCTGTCCCCTGCCTGCCCCTGGAACCCCCTGCCTGCCCCTGGAATCCCCTGCCCCTTATCCAACTTCCTCTCCCGCCCCCTTACCATGCTGCTCGGAGCAGCATGAGCTCGCAACCACGCCGCTCGAACGGAGCCAGCCACGCCGCCCGGCAGAAGCAGAGTGCTGGCAGCGCGGCATGCTGAGGCTGCGGGGGGTGGGGCTGGGGACTAGCCTCCCCAGCTGGGAGCTCGGGGGCCGGGCAGGACAGTCCCACGGGGCTGTAGTTTGCCCATCTCTATCTTAAGCCATTGACATCTCGCCCTCCTGCAACTGAAGAAAACTTGGACCGTTGAGGTCAGTTAAAATCGTAACATTGAAAAGGAAGCTTTTCTAGACAAATTTAAAATTTGGCATCAAAAAGTTAAAAAACCCACCTTTTAATTAAAACAGCTGGTTATTTGAAAGAATTGAGTTATACCTGAGCCACAGCAACTTCAAAAGGATGCAGGCAGAATGGCTGAATTTTAAACTGAGTTGCAGAAAAGCTCCTAACAGCTTTACATTTTCAAGGGGCCAGAGAGTTTACTTGGAATAATTTGAAAAATCCAATTAATAAACAAAGAAAAATAGACTTTCCCCTATTTTTCATGATCAAAAGCTATTAAAACATTTTTATTTTTAAAGCAGCAGCTCCCACTACATTGTACAATAGCAAAAACAAAGCAGTTAGGTTATTGTATAACATACCTGCATGTGTTAACACTATACTACTGTTCCTAGGTATAGTACAAAATCAGAAGCAGAACTGTATAATAGAAAACAGAAGTAAACTACTGTCACATTTACTATACATGCTATTGCACACGGATCTTAACCCCCAATATGCATTTCAGTAAACATGTTATAACTGTATTTAGTTTTACATATTTTTGCACATGCTACCTTGCAATTGCCATCTAAAAATATCTGATGTTTCATGTCTCTTAAGCTAGGGTGGCCATCACCATACTATCAGAGTGCCCTGTCTTCCAGTGTTGTCTATTCCCTGGTATTGGCAGCTCTGTGTGGGGTATGCTTGTTTCCTTTATTTTTGTTTTACTATAGATCGAAATTGTTAGATATGCATGCCTGCATGCTATCTGCACAAGACATTACATACATGCTTTGTTTAAATAGGATCAGGGATCTAACTTCCTAAAAGGCAATATTTGCTAGTTGTATTATGCTTATGTCCTAAGAGCCTCAAATGGCTTATAAAGAGAACCACTTGGGAAGCGTGAGAGGGTAGTTTTCCAGTCAAAGATAGTTTTGCCAACAAATCCTGCACTTGTTAGTCGTGAGAACATATATTGAAAATTAAGAATCTTGTTATACACATAGCAACTCCAGTTCCATTGGAAAATTGAACATGTATGTTTAAAGTGATGTTGACAAATACAGTAAAAGTGTTCATACAAACTTAGCAGTTAAGTTAGGAAGAGCTTGGTTTCCTCCCATTTGGGGAACAACTTGCCTGGTTTAGGAAACTGAGACCTTACAGGAATTAAACGAACATGTTTTCTCCCATTCTGTAGCACCAAGAACGTAAGTAAAAAAAAAACAAAGCAGCAGAGAACTCTCCAAGATTAGAATTATGACAGCTATCTAGTCAGACACTATGCATGGAGAAACAAGGGGTCACGTGCCCCTGCCCCCTCTCCTGCCCCCCCTCCCCCCATTTGCTACTTGGCTTGTACTGAGCACACACACAGACTATGCGTGCTCAGTAACACTGCTGAAGCTGGCAGCCGTCCCTCTGCCTCCCTTCTCCCCCCCGCCTCCCACCCACT